TATCATATGTTACTTTGTATACAATTATGATATTACACTAATTTAAATACAATCATTTGAATACAAGTTGTTCATATACCATGCACGTAATTCTTGGTGATAGGATGCGTTTTGGGAGATGGATATGTGAGAGTTGGATGAGTGCTTCACTTCAGTTGGTATTTCGGATAGAGCCTTTTACATCTGTAATCACTGTTAGTACAACCCAAAGCTTGTCGGTAATCATTTAGATAATGAAGTATAGAATATAAAATGATTTGAGTAGTTTGGATACATTAATGCTGGAAATGTACATATCGATATACAGCTATAAGTGTAGGCAAACTTCAAGCGGATAATGATTTAGTGTGAATAGATCCTGGACCATATGATAGGGTGTGTTGTGTCACCAAGTTGACATTGAATGTGAAAGTAGCAATATAGTCATTTGGAGGTATATGTGAACAACCCCATAGTTATTGTCATGAGTAGTAGTGAGTATGTCAGTGTGTTAAAGATGTAAACATTTCAGATGTAAACTGGGCATAGGCCTACGTAAACTCCCGCGCTGGCAGAGAGAGAGAGAGAGAGAGAGATTAGATAGAGATAACGACCATGTGGTTGGGCAGCGGGGAGACCAGTAATCTCCTTCTAGTAGGGTTAGTCTGATTAATCAGACCCGCTAAGTATTTATAGATTCTTTTGTACAGTAATGTGATAGGTTCTGCGCTGTTAAGACTAGGGTTTAGCCATAAAGAGGCTGAGAAGTAGAATAGTCACTGAAGAGAGTGATAACTTTGTTTTCCCAAGGAGGGTATCTGTCTCCCAAGTCCCTGGTTTTACCCTGGTTATAAAATACATGTACTGTAGTATGGCATAGGGAGAGAATTCCCTTTTCACCCTCTTTAGTCCAGCCTCTGTACCGTTTTCGTGTAGCGCACTCAATCAGCTGATAAAATAACACACTCTCAACGTTGAAAGTATAGCCATTCCTCTCAATCTGGGTAAGAGGACACTTTTTTTTTATTGGTACGACCAACAGTGACGTAATGCGAGGGGGGGGGGGGTGGGTGGGTGCAGGGGCGTCGCCAAAGGGGGGGGGGGAGTGCGACACCCCCACCTGTCAGGATTTTGTCGGTAAAATTGCGCTGCCGTCGGGGAAAAAAGAGAAAAGGGGGAGGGAAAAAAAGAGAGGGAAAGGGAAAGAAAGGAAAAAAGAAAAGGAAAAGAAAAGAAAGAAAGGAAAAGAATTAAAGGAAAGAAAGGAAAGAAAAGAGAAGAAAGAGAGAGAGAAAAGAAAAAGAGGGAGGAGAGGAAAGAAAGGAAAAGAAAGAAAAGGAAAAAAAGAAGAAAAAAGAGTAAAAGGGAAACAAAAGACACGGGGGATGAAAGAGAGGAGAGAGAGGGGAGGTAAGAGCCTGAGAGAAGAGGAGTGGGAGTAAAAGAGAGAAGGGGGTTGTTGGGTGGAGTCGTCTCGTCGAGGGAGCAAGAAAGACACGGCCAAATATGTTGCTGTGTCAAGTCAGCTGTGTTGGTATTCTTGCTCGATCCTCGTTTACTAATATCAATGCAGAAGTTTGAAGTCGGTGAGATGTATATTGTCGGTCGGCCGACAAGTTTTTTTCCCTACGAACTGTGACTTTTTATCCGCTGTGACGACTTCGAGAGTGACTACAACTACAATACTTGTATTTTCTCGAAGTTTCACTTTCCTATAATATCAGCTAAAGAAATCAGAGGTTTAACATTTTCGGGGAAACTAAATTCAAACAAGGTTTAAGAGTCAACAACGGTACGACGAATCGTTTCCTTTCTCTATATTGTGATGAAACGCCAAAGATTCCGCGCTTCGCGCGGAAGGGGAAAACTTAATTTAGACGAGTCGAGAACGGTACAACAAATCGTTTTCTTTCTCTAATAATTTAAGGAAACGTCAAAGCTTTCGCGCTTCGCGCGAAAGGGGAAACTGAATACGGACAAATATGGCTTATTTAGGGTCGAAAACGGAACGACAAATCGTCTTCCTTTCTCTATATTGTGATGAAACGCCAAAAATTGCGCGCTTCGCGCGGAAGGGGAAACTTCATTTAGACGAGTGGAGAACGGTACAACGAAACGTCTTATTTATCTAATAATTTAAGGAAACGCCAAAGGATAAAGAGTCGAGCACGGTTCAACGAATCGAATACTTTCTCTAATAATTTAATGAAACGCCAAAGGATTAAGATTCGAGCACGGTTCAACGAATCGAATACTTTCTCGAATAATTTAATGAAACGCCAAAACTTCCGCGCGCGGGAGGGGGAAGCTTCATTCAGACAAGGATTAAGAGTCGAGCACAGTTCAACGAATCGTCTACTTTCTTTAATAATTTAATGAAACGCCAAAACTTCCGCGGGAGGGGGAGAACTGAATTCAGATAAGGATTAAGAGTCGAGAACAGTACACCGAATCGTCTAGTTTTTTCTCATAATTTAATGAAACGTTAAAGCTTCCGCGCTGTGCGGGAGGGGGAGAAACTGAATTAAGACAAGGATTAACAGTCGAGAACGGTACAGCAAATCGTCTTCTTTTTATAATAGTTTAATGAATCGTTAAAGGTTTCGCGCTTCGCGCGAGGGGGGGGGGGGGGACTTCATTCAGACAAGAATTAACAGTCGAAAACAGTACAATAAATCGTCTTCTTTTCCTAACAATTTAAGGTAACGTTTAAGCGAGTTTCCCCCTCCCTCCTCCGCAAAACGCAGAAGCTTTTACGATTCATTAAATCATTAGAGAAAGAAGATGAATCGTTGTACAGTTCTCGACTCTTAATCCTCGTCTGGATTCAGGTTTCCCCCTCTAAATTTAGTTCCTGCGCGATCGAAGCGCGGAAGCTTTTAATGGTTCATTAAATCATTAGTGAAACAAGACGATTCGTTGTACCGTTCTCTAAAATAATCCTTGTCTGAATTCAGGTTCCCCCCTCCGCGCAAAGCGCGGAAGCTTTTAAGTTTCATTTAATCATTAGAGAAAGAAGACTGTTAACTTCGAATTTTGCCAAACTTCCTGTACTTGACCTTATTTAAATTGGCAAAGAGGAATGATACTGGATATAAACTTAAAGTTCCACACGCTCTAGTCTCGTCTCAGTTTCTTCATTGACATGTCTCAATTTCTGTCTCACTCACTAGCATTCGACTTACACTGCGCATCTCACGATGTCGACGTCCAAAAAGCACATCATTATCAGTCCAAAATGTGCCTTACACGTATACTTTATTCGTCCCAATTATCACGATGATGTACAGTGGCTAATCATGAGAAGTATGTCATAAAAGAGCAAGAGAATAGTGTTGTAGTAGTAGACTAGTAGGTTGAAAACTGTTATGCTTTCCATCTCCATGGCACATCTTCCCCTTCCATCTTGTTTCTTTGCACTGATTTATATAACCTTCACCGTAGATGGCGTTAACCTAATAGTTTGTATCAACAAAGACGATTCGTTGTACCGTTCTCGAAAAAAAAAATCCTCTTCTGAATTTAGTTCCCCCCCCCCCCCCGTTCCGCGCGAAGCGCGGAAACTTTTACGTTTCATTAAATCATTAGAGAAACAAGACGATTCTTTCAGTTCTCGACTCTTAATCCTCGTCTGAATTCAGTTTTCCCCCTCCCGCGCTAAGCGCGCAAGATTTTACGATTCATTAAATCATTAGAGAAAGAAGACGATTCGTTGTACCATTCTCGACTCTTAATCCTTGTCTAAATTCAGTCCCCCCCCCCCACCTCCTGCGAGAAGCGCGGAAGCTTTGACGTTTCATTAAATTATTAGAGAAAGAAGACGATTCGTTTTACCGTGTTTGACTCGTAATCTTTGTCTTAATCCATTTCCCCCCCCCCCCCCCCCCCCTCTCCCGCGCGAAGCGTGGAAGCTTTGACGTTTCATGAAATTATTAGAGAAAGAAGACGATTAGCTATACCGTTCTCGACTCTTATTCCTTGTCGTAATTCAGCCCCCTCCCGCTTGAAGCGCGGAAGCTTTTTTTGTTTCATTAAATCATTAGAGAAAGAACACGATTCGTATTTCTGTTATCGACTCTGAATCCTCGTCTGTATCCTGTTCCCCCCTACCCGGAAGCTTTGACGTTTCATAAGATTATGAGAGAAAGCAGACGATTCGCTGTTCCTTTCTCGACTCTTAATCATTGTCTGAATTCAGTCCCTTTCCCTCCCCCTTCCTGCGCGAAGCGCGGAAGCTTTGACGTTTCATTAAATTATTACAGAACGAAGACGATGCGTTGTACCGTTCAATAGGCTACTTTTAATCCTTGTCTGAACTTAATCCTTGTCTGTTCCTTTTTCTTCTTACGTCTTCTTCCTTTTCTCTCCTGAGTTTTTTTTTTTGGGGGGGGGGGGGCGGTGATTTTCGGGTAGAGTACGACTACGGACGACGCGACCGCAGTATTCACGTGCGTGCAACATAGGCGAAACCGAAGCGTGATGAGAACTCCGGTCTGTTTCGCGAACGCTAGCGTGCTGACCCAGTTAATCAGGTCCATTCGTTTACGTGCAGTTGTCTAAAAGAAGACGTAGATGGCGTTAACCAGTATATCCCATGATACACTCCCTTTAATGGAGACGCTAAGTGATGAGTTATATTATTAGAAGCTATATAGTAGATTGACTGATATCTCAATGTTATAGACATTCGTTGGTTAAGTTGTATTAGAAGCCAAGTTATTCTTATGATATCGATGAAGAGTGATATTGCCCTTGTAAATAAAGCACGGATGTAAGGAAAGGTTCTTTAATTTACAGATAGTAACGTAATGAACTTCCCAGATGATATTCCTAGTGATATATTTAAGAAAGAGGACACCGGAGAGTTACGAATTCAATGTATGCGAACAGGTAGATTTATTTGCGTTTAGTACTTGAAGAGTATTGTTATGCAGCGCAATACTAGATCCACATAATTATTTATAAAAAATAAAACACTTTTGAATGAGGAGGCCAATTAATTCACCGATGTGACTTTTTCTTCACAGGTCGTGTGCTTGAGTTGTCAACGATGGCTACTTCCTTGCAGCAGGCTGTCGATAAGAACCTGGAGTGTCCTGTCTGCCTGAGCTTCTTCAAGGACCCCAAGATCCTGACCTGCTCCCATACCTTTTGCAAGGGTTGTCTTGAGACTGTCATAGAGTCTCATCGGAAGCTGTTATGTCCTACGTGCAGGGAGGAGACTTCGGTTCCTGGTGGAGACGTGGGTAGATTGCAGCCAAACATAACAGTCAGATCACTTGTTGAAGATGTGGAGACCCAGGGCCATTCCAACTTTAATCAAGAAGACAAATGTAAAAAACATCCGAACCAATATGAAGACTGTTTTTGTCTTAACTGTAAAAAGTATGTCTGCTGCAAGTGTGCAATATCAGAGCATGCAAAGGATGCTCACACTATCCTTGAAGCAGGCGCCCATGAAAAGAATAACATCGAGGAACTTGCATCAAAAGCGAAAGCAAAGATACGCAACGTTGACAACTATGTTACATTCGTTGTAGACAAGCGTAAAAGGGTGCATAACGTACATGAACAACTCAATGATGAAATAGATGATACTTTTGAGGAATCAGTTCAGAAGTTGAGGAAAATAAGGACGGTGTTGAAAAATGAAGTCGGACAAAAGCTAGGTAAACTTGAGAGTTCATTGGGAGACATGGAGGAGTCAGGTCGTAAACAGCTAGATCAGATTAAGACAGCTCGGGACTTGGTTAAGAATGGTCTTCATATTCCTCTCCAGACAGAGGCTTTTACCTCACATAAAGCGAAGTGTCAAACGCTGGAAGAGCTTCTAAGCCAGATTGGGCCAGATGTGGAGCTGCCCAGGAGAACTGCTGAGGAAGGTGAAAGAGTTGGCTTCAGGAGTCTGGGATCGGATGGACTCCAAATGGGCCAGTTAAGACAAAAGGAGTCCAAATGGATGTACAGGGAAGATTCGCTGCCTCTTAGAAATGCCATGGGCGGAATGGCAATATCACCAAACAATGAGATGGCTGTCGGTTTTTACGGGGGAGGAATAGTCATGTATTCTTCTGAGTGCATCATGCAAGATATCGTTCTGAAATCTGTTCAAGTTAATGCACTACACGTTATGCCTGATGGTGGATACGTCATACGCGACTCGAATAACAAAATTGTCTTGTACACCGAGCTTCTTGAAAAGCTTGATGTAACGTTTGAGACAATTGATGTTGCGAAAGGTGGATGGCTTGGTGGTCTCATTGTAGACAAGGATGGGCTGATCTTCATAGCTTACAATGAATGCAAGAAAATACAGGTATTTAAGCCAGAAGGTGGCAAGGCAATTAGAAAGATAAAGTGTAACGGATTGAATCCATGGCAAATGTTTGCGATGAAATCAAGTCAAGCGATTGTCGTTAAGAATGGTTGGGATACGGTACACGTGATCAACGATGTGTCTGGTGCTATCATTCATAGCATCAGCAAGGATGGTGAAGACTCTTACCCTGCTGTGTATCAGGAAAATTCAGTTATCATCGCATGGGTTAAGAAAGATCAGGGTCTGTTGAACATCGTTCAGTACACAAATGAGCTCAAATACATCAGAAACATTCTCACTGACTTCAAGATAATCAAACCAAATCGAGATTGGTACTCTTTACATGCATTTAAGACGGGAGAGATTGCTTTCTGCACTTCTAATAGATTTTACATCTTCAATGAGACGTGGGAGTAAATTTCAGTTTTGCATATCGGAACTTTAAAACTCCCGGATCCAATCCTTTCAGTGCTCCTGCTTTGTAAACAAGCTTGTGCCGAAATGTAATGTAAATCAAAGAGTAGGTCTAGATTCCACTCTATTATAATGCTATAATAATGGTGGCCAATTTCATAATGCTGTCGGCAGTAGACAGTGTAACGTTTACTCTTATGAAGTATCAAGATGTTGCTCTCATTATTGCAAATGGCGGTTATTTTATAGACTGATGTAGTTAGATAATCGAGGAGAAGAGGGTAGTACACCTTCTAATCTACGGAAAGCATAAATTGCAAATAGAATACACAGTCATACATTCCCGCTATTATGGGGGATGAGCAGCTTCTTCCATAGATATTTGTAATAATCATAAGATTCCCTAAGTGTTCATGCTTCATAGTAGTGGCAACGTAAGCAAATTATTGTTTTCAAAATACAATGTATTACTATGTACCTGAAAATGTTTGTTTTTAGAATATGCAAGATACTTGGCAATCAATTAATTTATATGTTGGTAATGATGGAGAAGGCATAATTCTATATACATATGTTTTTTGTTCTTTGTTTCAAGAACATTTTTGATAATGTAGGACATCATTTATTTTTGTCATAGTTGTTTACTGGAAAAATGCGTAAAAATTGTGAATTGTGTAAACGTTCTAAATGGCCTTTATTTGTACAATCCCTAATTCCCGTACATTCCTCTATCTCTTTTTGCTTCACGTGCATTTATAATTCAGTCATTCATTCGGCTAGGTTCATTTAAAGAAAATTCCTTGTAAATCAGTCCAAAGACTGAAGCATACACTATTGTCATAGTTTTATTGTTCAAAATTATACAAAGAATACAATATATTTAACCAAAATTGACTAGGAACAAAAAAATTGGGATAAGAAATTTAAAAAAAAAATTGTTAAACATGTTGCACCTCAAATTGAAAATAAAAACACCCCCCCCCCCCCAAAAAAAAGGGATTTTAAAGACAGAGAAAGAAAAATGAGAATTGACAAGCTTGGGAAAAACGACAGAGAGAAGAGAGGGAGACAGATGAGGGATCTGTTGAGAAAAGGTAAAAATTGAAGAGTGCCATTTCATTTGCTCATGTCTTGCATTTGAATCCTAATACAAGCAACAGAATCTTTGAAATCTTTGAAATATTGGGTATGTATATATAGTTACGAATACATACATAAATACCTTTACTATGTTCATAGGTTAACAGACTGAACATGACAGTAAAATAGAAACCAATGATTTAGCTTAAAACTATCATGTCTTACATCGTCACACTATTCTGGCAGCAAGGAATCACCCGCTGTATAAAGGGGAACAAGAAATGGTATTTAAGTCTATAGTCCAAAGATGTGAAAATAACACAGATGTATGTTGAATTGCATGGTCAATTTAAATTTACATTACTCATTTAAGTATTAATTGTGTTAATGTTACATTGATATGCTTTATGTCTGACTAAGAAGTTTAGTGTAAATGTACAAAATGTTTGAACAATTATTTGTCACATTATGTATACAATGAAATTAACAAACCTTGATATGCTTAATGTTTGACTAAGAAGTTTAGTGTAAATGTACAAAATGTTTGAACAATTATTTGTCACATTATGTATACAATGAAATTAACAAACCTTGATATGCTTAATGTTTGACTAAGAAGTTTAGTGTAAATGTACAAAATGTTTGAACAATTATTTGTCACATTATGTATACAATGAAATTAACAAACCTTGATATGCTTAATGTTTGACTAAGAAGTTTAGTGTAAATGTACAAAATGTTTGAACAATTATTTGTCACATTATGTATACAATGAAATTAACAAACCTTGATATGCTTAATGTTTGACTAAGAAGTTTAGTGTAAATGTACAAAATGTTTGAACAATTATTTGTTACATTATGTGCAATGAATTTTACAAACTTTGATATGCTTTGTGTTTGACTAAGAAGTTTAGTGTAAATGTACAAAATGTTTGAACAATTTTTTGTCACATTATGTAAACAATGAAGTTAACAAACGAGATCTAGTGTACTTATTAAGAACTCATTTGTATCCTTTAATTGGAATGGAAATCAATGTATTATATACTTTAGTTTCTAATGCATGCTGTAGTTTATCTTATTAGTATGCATTAAAGTTAATTCCCCCTTACTAGGTTCATGATTCTTTCATAGTAGATTAATTAACTTTCTTTATTATATTTGTTAAGAGTATAGATACATCCCAATGTTATTCGCTATAAAAGCATGATTATTATTATGGAATTATGTCAGTTATCATCTTCCATTCAAATTATGTTACGAATTTCATGTTCGATTTCATTATATTTTCTTAAAGGGGATAGAAGAAATAAACTGGAGTTATGAATTTGATCACTGAAATTTCCAGAAAGTTTTTCTTTGTCCTGTGTCATTGGTGTGAGAGAAAAAAAAATCCAAAAGAAGTGAAAGACCGAGTAATCAAAAGTATTTATTTTAAAGAATCCATGCAGGAGGTATATAGAAGCTTTTGTTGATGATATTCTTATAATATTATGTCAGCGGTTATGACGGCAAGCGTGAATGTCAGCCATCAGGAAGAAGAGGGGAGAGGGTAGGGGATAAGTCTAATGAGTTAGAGAGAACAGGCGCGGATCCAGGGGGCAGCGGGTCCTGCCCCCCTCCCCGCAAAAAAAAGAGAGAGAGAAAAAGAGAAGGGAAAGGGAAAGAGGAGAGAAAGAAGAGGAAGAAAAAAAAGAAGAATGAAGGGGAAAGAAAGATATCAGGGGGGGGGGGGACCGAAAGGGCCTTGCCTCCCAGCTGTTACCTACCCCCCCCCCCCCGACAAAACATGAGAGAGAAGGAAAGGGAAAGGAAAAGAGGAGATAAGGGGAGGGAAAAAAAGAGGAAGAAGAAAAGAAAAGAAGGGGGATATCAGTTGTAACTTTCCCGCCAACAAGTTGCCCTTGCCCCCGCCCCCCGCCCCCCTCCACCCCGCCCAAAGGGGGGGGGGGGAGGGGGAGGGAAAGGGAAAGAGGAGAGCTAAAAGGGAACAAAAACAGGAAGAAGAAAAGAAAAGGGTGAAAAGAAGGGGGGAACATTTGCGATTAATCCCGCCAAAAACGTGTGGATGGGAGGGGGGGGGGGCGAAAGGCCTTTGCCTTCCCCCATCAAACTTAAAACAGAGAGAAGGAAGGGAAGGGAAAGGAAAAGAGGAGAGAAAGGGAAAAACAAAGAAAGGTAGGGGGATCAGTTGCGTTTTTTCCCGCCAACAAGGTGTAGATCGGGGGGAGGGGGGGGGGGCACTGACGTTCTGATGGGGGAGGGGGCTTGGGGGGGGGGGGAGGCAGATGCCCCCAAATATAATTCAAACGTGATTTATTTCTAATTCGATACCGGTGATTAATAAATGTTGCTGAAATGACACAATTTTCCGAAATTTTTACTCAATCTTTTTTTAAATCAGACTTTTTTATGCGTTTGTTGGAAAATGGCAAATTCCTAAAGAAAGAAAGAAAAAATAGTAACCTGCCTTTCTCACAAAATAATGAGGTGTCAAAATGAGGTGCTCATCTGACCGTGAATAAATGCCTAAAACCGGCCTAAGCCGTTCCGGGGGCTCTGCCCCCTGGATTTCACCTAGGGCCCTAAGGCGGGCACCTGGATGCTCATCTGACTGTAATTCAATGCTTAAAACCCCTGAGCTTATGGGGTCTCCGCCCCCTGGACCTCACGCCAATTAGTGGCCTGCCAGTGTCACAAATAGTATCAAAATATGTTCATCTGACCGTAATTAAATGCCTAAAATCCCTGAGCTTCTGGGGGCTCCGCCCCGTGGACCCCATGCCAATTAGTGACCTGCCAGTGTCACAAATAAGGTATAAAAAATATGCTCACCTGACCGTAATTTAATGTATAAAACTCCTGAGCTTCTGTTGGCTCCGCCCCGTGGACCCCATGCCAATTAGTGACCTGCCAGTGTCACAAATAAGGTATCAAAATATGCTTATGTGACTGTAATTTATGGCCCATGATAGCACGACAAACGGAGGAGTTGTCCATGAATACGTCACAATCCACTGACCAAATAGCCAATTTGAGATACGCATAGGTTTAGTGATCTCACCTGCCTTATCAGTTGTCCGTTTGATTCAACCTTTCGCCAATCTGATTCTTAACTTATTATTAAGATTGCATTATTTTTTAGTCACTTCAAGGTACATTGATATATTTGACAAATGATTCACACACCAGTGAAAATGAACATTTGATTTGTGATCCCTGCAAAAGAATAATTTTGTAGAAATTTGTACCCCCTTTAAAAAAATATATATATTGTATCAATACTGTATCTTTTACTTTAGGGTAGAGACTCTATGTCTCTGATACAAAGCTACCATACGTACAGTATAGATCAGTCAGTATATTATGCAATCAAAGTGGGAAAGCCTTTGTCCCTTCCCAGCTGAGAGTACACACAAACCCCGCCCAAAGAATGGAAGAGTCCAGGGCACCATGTGAGGAGGGACTAAATGAGTGATTGTTGTGCACACGTGTCATTCCACGTCTTGATATGGTGGCCCTGAAGGGACATCGCGAATAGACTAAATCGTGAAAAATATGCGATAAAATTCACGATATCGTCAATTTTATCGCATATTTTTCACGAAGAAATTCACGAAATTGACGATATCGTGAACTTTATCGTGAACTTTTCACGATGAAATTGACGATATCGTGAATTTTATCGTGAAAAGTTCACGATATAAAGTTCACGATATCGTCAATTTTATCGTGTACTCTATCGTGTACTCTATCGTGTACTCTCCTGACGGGCGCTTCGTAAACAAAACCAGCCCTAGCTGGGGGAGACAGAGAGAAGGAAAAAAGGGAAAGGGAAAGAGAAGATAAAAGGAAAGAAAGAATAATAAGAAGAAAAGAGGGAAACGGGGGGGGGGGGCGAAGGGCTCTTGCCTCCTCCTCACTCCCCCCCCCCCCCCCCCCCCCCCGCCAAAAAATAAATAAGGAGAGAGAGAAGGGAAAGGGAAAGGGAAAGAAAATATAAAAGGAAAGAAAGAAGAGGAAGAAGGAAAGAGGGAAACGGGGGAAGGGCGAAAGGCTCTTACCCCCCCCCCCGCCAAAAAAATAAATAAGAGAGAGAGAGAGAGAGAAGGGAAAGGGAAAGAAAGAAGAGGAATAAGAGGGAAACAGGGGAAGGGCGAAGGGCTCTTGCCTCCTCCCCCCCCCCCCCGCCAAAAATAAATAAGAGAGAGAAGGGAAAGGGAAAGAAAATATAAAAGGAAAGAAAGAAGAGGAATAAGAAGGAAAAGAGGGAAACGGGGGAAGGGCGAAGGGCTCTTGCCTCCTCCCTCCCCACCCCCGCCAAAAAAATAAATAAGAGATAGAGAGAGAAGGGAAAGGGAAAGGGAAAGAGAAGATAAAAGGAAAGAAAGAAGAGGAAGAAGAAGAAAAGAGGAAAACGGGGGAAGGGCGAAGGACTCTTACCTAAATAAGAGAGAGAGAGAGAAGGGAAAGGGAAAGAGAATAAAAAAGGAAAGGAAGAAGAATAAGAAGAAAAGAGGGGCTCTTGCCTCCTCCCCCCCTCACGCGCCAACAAATAAATAGGAGAGAGAGAGAGAGAGAGATAGAGAGAAGGGAAAGGGAAAGGGAAAGAAAATATAAAAGGAAAGAAAGAAGAAGAAGACGGAAAGAGGGAAACGGGGGAAGGGCGAAAGGCTCTTACCTCCCCCTCCCCCCTCCCGCCATAAAGGGAAAGAGAAGGGAGAGGGAAAGAAAATATAAAAGGAAAGAAAGAAGAGGAAAAAGAATAAGAAAAGAGGGAAACAGGGGCGAAGGGCTCTTGCCTCCTTTCTTTTCTTTCTTTTCCTTTCTTTCCTATTCTCCCTGTTTTTCGTTTTTCTCTTTCTTTCTTCTCTTTCCCTTTCCTTCTCTCTCTCTCTCTTATTTATTTTTTGGCGGGGGGCGGGGGGACGAGGCAAAAGCCCTTTGCCCCCGTTTCCCTCTTTTCTTCTTCTTCCTCTTCTTTCTTTCCTTTTATCTTCTCTTTCCCTTTCCCTTTCCCTTCTCTCTCTCTCTCTGATTTATTTTTTGGCGGGGGGGGGGGGGGGGAGGGGGGGGGGGGGGGGGGGGAAGAGTCCTTCGCCCTTCCCCGTTTTCCTCTTTTCTTCTTCTTCCTCTTCTTTCTTTCCTTTTATCTTCTCTTTCCCTTTCCCTTCTCTCTCTCTCTCTGATTTATTTTTTGGCGGGGAGGGGGGGGGGGAGTGAGGAGGAGGCAAGAGCCCTTCGCCCCCCCGTTTCCCTCTTTTCTTCTTATTATTCTTTCTTTCCTTTTATCTTCTCTTTCCCTTTCCCTTTTTTCCTTCTCTCTGTCTCCCCCCAGCTAGGGCTGGTTTTGTTTACGAAGCGCCCGTCAGGAGAGTACACGATAGAGTACACGATAGAGTACACGATAGAGTACACGATAAAATTGACGATATCGTGAACTTTATATCGTGAACTTTTCACGATAAAATTCACGATATCGTCAATTTCATCGTGAAAAGTTCACGATAAAGTTCACGATATTGTCAATTTCGTGAATTTCTTCGTGAAAAATATGCGATAAAATTGACGATATCGTGAATTTTATCGCATATTTTTCACGATTTAGTCTATTCGCGATGTCCCTTCAGGGCCACCATATCTTGACACTATAGCTAAAGCATCACACCAACCACTGGTTCTCCTCGTGTTATTTTCTTTCAGGTAAGACAGTTTATTCCTACCTTTTATATTATGTTAGATTGTATACAATCATGATATTACACTCATTTAAATACAATCATTTAAATACAAGTTGTTCATATACCATGCATTTAACTCTTGATAATAGGATGCGTTTTGGGAGATGGATATGTGAGAGGTGGATGAGTGCTACACTTCAGTTGGTATTTCCGTAGAGAATCTATTACATCTGTATCACAATCACTGTTATTACAACCTAAAGCTTGTTGGTATTTATTTAGATAATGAAGTATAGAATATAAAATGATTTGAGTAGTTTGGATCATATGCTGGAATATCGATAAACAGCTATATAAGTGTAGGCAAACTTCAAGCGGATGATGATTTAGATGTGAATAGGTCCATCCTGGACCGTTATGGTGTGTTATCTCACCAAGTTGACGTTGAATGTGAAAGTAGCTATAGTCATTTTGAGGTATATGTGAACAACCCCATAGTTATTGTCATGAGTAGTAGTGACAATGTCAGTGTGTTAAAGATGTAAACATTTCAGATGTAAACTGGGCATAGGCCTACATAAACTCCCGCGCTTGCAGAGAGAGAGAGAGAGAGAGAGGGATTAGATAGAGATAACGACCATGTGGTTGGAC